CTGGGCTTAGTGGGGGGCGGGGGCACGGGGGTCGGTTGGTCTGCAGGGCCGGGGCCTAGTGACTGGGGGTCTGGGGTCTCTGCAAGGCTGGGGCCTTGGAACCAGGGGCCAGGACTCTAGTGGCCGTGGTCCAGGCCTGTGGGCCGGGGGGAAGGAGGAGTATACCTGATCTGGGGGCCAGCGTCTTCCAGCCAGGGCCTGGAGACCTGGTGCCCTGCTGGCCGGGGTCTGTGGGGCTTCAGGCCAAGGCCAGGTCTGTGGGCCTGAGCCGAGTCTGTCCAGGAGCCGGGAGGGAGGGAGGAAGGGGGCGGACAGAGGCTCCAGCGGAGGCTTGGTCTTGATGGGGAGGCCCTGCCTGGGGCGGGGAGTGGGCTGGGGTAGGGGTAGGTGCCGAATAAGGGGTGCTGCCTGTACCTCCAGGGGGAGGACGGGCGGGTGCTGTGCTGTGTGGCGTGGGAGGGTAGGGGAGAGGGGAGTGGAGGGGGCCCTGGCAGGACATGGTCAGGGAGAGGAGCGGTAGGTGCAGAGTGAGGGGTGCCGGCTGGGGTAGTACAGAGCCAAGGGGGGCTCACAGTGTGGTCCAGGGGGACCTGGGGGTGCGGGAGGTCCATGATGGAGGGGAGAGCGCTGGGATGCAGGAAAGGTAAGAGCCAGCTGGGTGCTCCGCGGGGTTCCCCGTGGGGATGGGAGTTTTTATCCTCTGTGGGCAAGACCCACAATCCTGGCCCCATCCCACTCTGGATGTCGCTGTGTCCACGACCTGCCTTCCACAGGGGCTGCCTGGTCACACGTGTTAGGGAACCAAGTTAAAGCAGCCATATTCACCCTCGCGCAGCCCTCGTTAGTGGCATTTTTGTGGCATTTCCTGCAGGCGGTGTCATTTCAGTAGTTTGACCCCTGTGGAGGCAAAGCCTTTGGGACTCTCTGGGAGCCCTTTGACCCCTCGGGGCTGCAGTCCCCAGCATCCCAATCAATACAGCCCTGCTGGCCTCTGCGTGTGCAGAGGTCTTCCCGCCAACGTCCCCGGGTCCTCTGCAAGTCCCGCACCCCCTGTGGCCGGGGGTTGGTGCTTGGTCAGCATCCAGTGCCTAGACCAGATAGTCAGGGAAGGTGGGCTGCGCGGGGAAAGGCCAGTTCCTGCAGAGCCTGCACATCCGTCAGCATCCTCAGGTTCCTCCCATAAGCCCTCCTGACCCCTTCTGTCCTGTTTCAGGGCCTCAGGTTCGAGGTGGTCCCTTCCAGGTTCAAGGAGACACTGCATAAGGCCTCATTTGCTACTCCGTACGCATACGCGGTGGAAACGGCCAGGCAGAAGGCCCTGGAGGTGGCCGGCAGGATGCACCAGGTGAGGGCTCTGCTTCTGCTCCTTCCTGGGTCCCCTGCTAGGAGGGCGTCCTCAGGTTTTAAACATACGTGTTATGCAGTTAGTCTAGCGTCTCCACGGCTGAGGGTCTTCGTGTTGTACACTGCTGTAAGTGCAGTTAGTCTAGCGTCTCCACGGCTGAGGGTCCTCGTGTTGTACACTGCTGTAATTCATGTGATAGTATCATTTATAGAACGTAGCTTATCTCTTACTTTGCTAGGATGTAACATACTATTGCAGTTCATATCATAGTATCATTTACGATAAAGAATTGATCTACCTGATCTATTACCACGTGTTACCATGTCATATGCTACTGTAACTAATATAGTAGCATCGTTTATGATACAGAATTAATGTAGTTTATCTGTTACTGTTGCTGTATAATATATTATGATATTTAATATAACAGCATCATTTATGGTGCAGAAATAACCTAGCTTATCTACTATTGTTACTATATAATATACTATGGTATTTAATATAACGTCATTTATGATATAGAAACAATACAGCCTCTGCATTACTATGAGTGTTACTGTATATCATTGCAATTAACATAACAGTATGACTTACGATATAGAATTAACTATAGAATTAATGTACCTTACCTATTATTAGGTCTTATTATATAATATACTCTTGTAATTAATGTAACGGTATCATTTATGATATGGAATTAATGTAGCTTATCTATTGCTGTGTGTTACTGTATAATATACGAATTAATATAATAGTGTCATTTACGATACAGAATTAAAGTAGCTTAGCTGTTACTATGTGTTATAATAATACCTACTTGCAGTTAACATACATGACCCGTATATTCAAGTCAATGCTGTAAGAAGTATTGATATAAATAAATGAACATTGATGGACTGATTTCCGGCCGTGGAAAGGTTAGAATTTAAGTGCAGCCAGAGCAGAAGGTTGTGTGCAGGTTTCCAATGGGTGTCTTGGGGTCACGTCTTCCTTGCTTGGTGTGTCGAGGACACTGAAATCTTGCTTTCCAAAGTGAGACTGGATTCGCAAGTAAGCAGCGATGCTGTGTCATGTGCGTCATGGCATGAAAATGTGTAAGACGCGCAGAGTCGTCCTTTCTAAAGCTGAGTCTGGATTTCTTGCAGAAGGACCTGCGGGCCCCTGACGTTGTCATTGGAGCAGACACCATCGTGGTGAGTCTGCGTTCCGGCTCTCCGTGTGGCGGGCATGTCCTTGGTAACCGAAATCAAGGCCTCGGCAAGGCTGGTTCTTTCTGGAAGACCTCAGGGAGGATCCGTCCCAGGGTCCCCTCTCTCTTTCTCTCTGTCTCTTTCTCTCTGTCTCTCTCTCCGGCTTCTGCCCATCTCTGCCTCCGTCTTCACATGCCTTCTCCTCTGTGTCCCAGGTTCCTTCTTCTTATAAGGACACCAGTTATCATGGATTAGGGCCCACCTACTGCAGTATGACCTCATCTTAAATTTTCTTACATCTGTAAAGACCCTATTACCAAATAATGTTCTGTTCACAGGGCGGGGCATCAGGACCTCGGCATATGTTTTGGAGGGAAACGGTTCTCGCGAAGATAGGGGTTTTGGCCACTGAGGGTTGGACTTCTTGGTGGGAGGTCACAGTGATCAGTACGGCAGCTCTGCCATGCTGGTGACAACCCTCTGTCTGAGACCCTCACTGGCCTGATGGCAGGCATCTCCCAGGGATGCTGGGCCTCATTGCTAGGGTACCATCATGGTCTCCAGGCGAGGGACCACCTGTTTGAAACAGTCTGGAGTTACTGTGTAGAACAGGGAGCTATATTCAACATCTTGTAATAACCTGTAATGGAAACGGATCTGAAATATATATATGTACATATATATATATATATATATATATGTATATGTGTAACTGAACCACTTTGCTGTATACCTGAAACTTACACAATATTGTAAATCAACTGTACCTCAATTAAAAAAAAAAAAGAGTCCAGGGTTGGAAAATGCCAGATGGGGTGATCCCAGGGTCTGCCTTGCCCTCAACGTGGCATTTGTTTCTGTGCAGCCCAGGTGGATGGGACCTACCTGTGTGCAGGTGAGAATCAGACATCGTTTCTGGTTCATGGTTAAGGCTATGTGGAAGTAAGAGAGGGAACGATGCAGGTTCTTCAAAATGTTAATCGAAGAATTACTATATGACCCAGCAGGTGTTATGGGCTGAATTGTGTCCCCCAGCCCGATTCCTATGTTGGAGTCCTGGTGCCCAGGACCTCAGAACTTGACTGTGTTTGGAGATGGGGTCTTTAAAGAGGGGATGAAGGTCAAAAGAGGTCATTAGGGTGGGCCCTGATCCCATAGGATGGGTGTCCTTCTAAGAAGGGGAGATCAGGACCCAGACACACACAGAAGGACGACCCTGTGAGGACACAGGGAGGAGACGGCCGTCTACACCCCCAGGAGAGAGGCCTCGGAGGGACCAGCCCTGCCCACGCCTGGATCTCAGATTCCAGCCTCCAGGACTGGGAGAAATAATGTCTGCTGTTAAGCTGCCCCGTCTGTACTGCTGTCGGGCAGCCCCAGCTAAGACATCTACGCTTAGGTATATGCCCCAAAGAATTGAAAATAGGTGTTCAGACAAAAATTTGTACGTGAATGTTCGTAGCATTATTCGCAACAGCCAAAAGGTGTGAACAACCCAGATATCCCCACCTTTGATGGACGGATGGGGTCCCTCCACACAGTAGAATATGACTCAGCCGTGAAAAGGAGTGAAGCTCTGACACAGGCTACAGCGTGGATGGACCTTGAACACACGATGCTCAGTGAGAGAAGCAGACCTAGAAGGACACACAGTGTGTGATTCCGTTGACAGGAAACGTCCAGAACAGGCAAATCCACAGACACAGAGAGCGGGTTAGGGTTGTCAGGGGCTGGGGGTGGGGGGAGGTGGGGAGTGACAGCTCACGGGGATCGCGTGTTCCAGATGATGAAAAAGTTCTAGAACTCAACAGTGGTCCTCGCCCAACCCTGGAAATGTACCACACAGTTTAGTTCAAAATGGTGAAATTCATGCTATACACATCTCTCCTGCTTTGAAACAAAAAAATGTGAATCTAAAAAGTAGACAGTGCAGCTTGCACAGACCAGCCCAGGGGGCAGAAAATGATGCTTTCCCTCACGCTTCTCTTGCAGGCGGTGGGAGCCATGATCCTGGAGAAGCCTGTGGACAAGCAGGATGCCTACCGCATGCTGTCAAGGTGGGTGGGCCTTGGCCGTCCTACGGGGAAGAGTAGCCTGCGTCCGACAGAGCCTGGGCCCGGTGGGGGGGCCACGCTTCCTCGGGCTGGGGTGTGGGTGTCCCTGCATCACCTGCGCCGTCTCCCACCGGCAGCCCCTCCAGGTCCAGGTCTGAGGACGGGCTGGTGCCCTCGAACATCCGCTGCGCTGGCTTCGCCCTAACGGGCTCGTCCGGGAGTCCCGTGTCTGCCCCTCCTCACTTTCCTCATCTCGACTCCCCCTGCCTTGTCGCCCCAGGAGCCCAGTGCCCCTGAGCTCCCGCCATGGGAAGCAGGCCCTGTCCCTCTCAGCGTCCCCCCCGGAACCCTGCCCCCGGGCGGGAGGGTGGGGCCACACCACCGCCCACCCTCAGGGTCTCTTCCTGGCTCAGCCCCCCACCCCCACCCCGGCATGTCCGCGCCCAAGAGAGTGAAGGGACCCGAGAAAGAGCCGCTGAGAGCTGCCAGGACCCGGGTCCTCCCAGCGTGGCCGGCGACTCCTGTCGGGGCCCAGGTGCTCCGTCCTCGCCTCGCATCCTGTGGGACGGCCGGGCCATCCCCCAGCCCCCGCTCCGAGGGCACCGAGCGCCCTCTCGCCTGGACCTGCGCGCTCGCTGCGGGAAGGTTTCCCTGGAGGCCGCGTGGCCGGGGCCGGTGGGTGGACCGGGGGCTCGAGCCCGGTGGTGGCAGGGATGGCGCTGTCTCGGACATCCCACACGGTCGCCCGCTGGAGCCCCGTCGTATCTTGCAGGCTGAACGGGAAGGAGCACAGTGTGTTCACGGGAGTGGCCATCGTCCACTGCTGCAGCAAAGGTACCACGGCCACCTCCTTCCCCGTCCCCCCCACCCCCGCCCCGAGTCAGGTGTCGTGCGGGGAGCCGGGGATCCTCGGGGACCCGGGTCCGTGGGAGCGGCTCTGTCTTTGCTCCCTTCCAGTCCTGCCTGGGAAAGTCAGGGTCCAACGTGGAAATCCTGGGGTTCACCCTGAGCGCCCGATGGGGACCGTGCGGGGGGGCGGGGGCTGTCATAAAAGCCCGTCCAACGCGACCGGCCCAGATGCTTTCTTTGAGGTTTTTGACCTGGAAGGTGGAGGAGTTTGGCCCCTGTTGGTGAGGCTTTTCTGTGTGTGTGTGTGTGTGTGTGTGTGTGTGTGTGTGTGTGTCTTGGCAGAGCCATGTGGCTTGTGGGATCTCAGTTCCCCGACCGGGGATCAAACTCATACCCACTGCAGTGGAGGCGCAGAGTCCTAACCACTGGATTGCCAGGGAAGTCCCAACGGGTTTTTTTTTTTTTAAATGCACAATTTTTAAAGCTGCTTAAAAGACATTTTAGGTCCAGGAAGGACCCTGAGGCTGAGTTTGAGCTCTTGGGCTCCCCGAGCACATCCCACAGGTGGGTGACCGCGCATCTGTCTGCTAATTAGTGATTGGGTTACTCTTACCCTCTTGGTCTGTCCTGGACTTTAACCTGTGCTCTTTGGGGAGAAAGCACTTGCTGGACAGTGTGGTTCCTTTACCTGGGGCTTGAGACCACAGGCATCCATCCTCCCCCATCCTGGGGACCACATGTCTGAGGTCAAGGTGTCCCAGGGCCGCACCCCCTCCAGAGGCTCCAGGGGAGGGTCCTTCCCGCCTCTCCCAGCTTCTGGGGGCTCCGGGCGTCCCTGGGCTCGTGGCCGCATCCCTCCCGTCTCTGCCTCCGTCTTCCCCGGGCTTCTCCTCTGTGTCTGTGTCTCTCCTCTTGTCTCTTGGAAGGACCCTGTCGTTGGATTTAGGGCTCACCCTCCTCCAGGAGGACCTCAGCTCAGACCCTTCCCTTCATCACATCTGCAAAGACCCTATTTCCAAATAAGGTCCAGTTCTGAGGTTTTCAGAGGGTGTGACGTTTGGGGGGCACCGTTCACGCCAGGACGGCTGGTGTGGAGAGCCCTCACGACTGGCCGCCATGCATAGCCACCGTACTGTGTGCCTGGGGCATTTCCAGCCCCACAGCCGAAAGCCTCGTGTAGGCTGCAGCATTACCCTGTGGTAACTCTACTCCACGACTTAGCACAGAAACCAGAGGCCCGTGTCATCCGGCTCTGCAGGCTGCAGCTTTTTCTCCTGCTTTTGCCAATTCTGTTGCCCTCTTTTCTGTTTTATTCTTTCTCTTTTCCCTTGTCTAAAAGGAACTGTTAACGACCGTGTGTGAAGTCCACGCAAAGCTCAGGCCAACTCCCCCCAAAGGCAGCGGCTAGAACCTGGGGACGCGGGGGCCTGGCGCCGGCCACGTACCCTCACTGCGGGGTCCTTCCTTGCAGACGGCCGGCTGGACACGGAGGTCTCGGAGTTCTATGAGGAGACCACGGTGAAGTTCTCAGAGCTGTCAGAGGAGCTGCTGTGGGAGTACATCAACAGCGGAGAGCCCATGTGAGTCTCTTTCGGGAGCTGCGGGCGGTGGACACACCGGGCGCGTGGCTCAGCCTGTGTTGGGGGCCAGGGCTCCTGACGAGCCCGGTGCCCCGGTGCCTGGAAGGTCCTGGAAGGATGCCTTCCTAGGCGTCCCCGTCCCGTGGATGCTCCTACAGCGCAGCCGGCCCTCCCAGGGCGCCACGCCCGCTCCCGTGATGGTGGGGCAGCTGGGGCCGGTCCCTGGAGGGCAGAGGTCACCATGACCCCAGTGTCACACTGACGGCCCCAAAGCGCGCTGGGTCTGGGCAGCAAAATCTTCTCACGGTCACGGAGGCTCAGCTTGCCCTGCAGCCTCGCTGGCTTCACCCCCCCCCCCCGCCGGGGCTGGGCTCGGCGCCAGCTGGTGGCTGCTGGCCTCGCCACGGGTCTGACGGTGCCCCGGGGGCCAGCCTCCCCGCGTGTCTTCAGGAAGCTGCTCACTCAGGGCGCTCGCGAGGAGCCGGGCACCGTCAGCCGTGGGGAGGTGAGCGCAGAAGCCCTGGGCTCCTGAGACGGAGCGTCTGAGCATGTGTTCTGCTGGTTAAAGCCGGGCTCAGTCCTGTTCACGGTAACGGCCGGGAAGGGGAGTCTCCCTGGGGTATTGCTCTTGTGGAAGCAGCAAAGGAACTCCCCGACCGGCCTGTCCTTCTGGTGGGCATGGGAGCCCCCGTTGCAGGGTAGTGAGGGGTGTGCTGTGCGCCCGGCCCTGTTCTCACCATCTTCTGTGGTGATACGTCCTCACGGGAGCCTCAGATCTGGGGCATCCTAGTCTGCTTGGGGTCCTAAGAAAGCACCACAGGCAGGGAGCTTGTAAACAAGAGACATTTATTTCTCACTGTCCTGGAGGCTGGAGGTCTGAGATCCTGGCGGGGCCAGATTTAGTGTCTGGTGAGGCTGCTTCCTGGTTCATAGATGGTGACTCCTCGCTGTGTCCTCGCCTGGAGGAAGGGGCCAGGGAGCTCCCTGGGGTCTCTTTTAGAAGGACACTAATCCCATCCCTGGGGGCTGCACCCTCTTGACCTCATCACCTCCCCGAGGTCCCACCTCCTGACACCATCGTGTTGTGGGTTAGGATTCCGCAGGGCGCTGGGCTCTGGGTGGTGACGGCTGTCAAGAGCGGAGCTGCTGGGTATCGGGGTGTCTGATCAGGACAACACACCAAAACGAGAGGCAGGGTCAGGCCGTTCACCGCTGCAGCTGCAGCGGGACCAAGAGGCCGAACCAGAGGGCATGCCAGCTCCCCCATCCCCTTTCCCCCAGGAAAGGGCCCGGGCGAGGGTCGGGGGCTGAGCACAGGCGTGGGGACCATGGGGGTGGGTTCACTGCCCCTGTCGCTTTATGGACCCGTGTCTGGCACAGCAGGAGAGGCAGGGGAGTCAGGGTGGAGGGCGGGGCTTCACGGGCCCCTCTTCCCCCGTAAGGAGGTCTCAGCAGTGGCGCCTGGGGAAGACCTGGGCCGAGGACCCACGTGAACGGACATCCGAGGGACGGGGATGCAGGGGGCAGTAGAGTACGGCGGGGGGCCTGGGATCTTCTCACGGTCACGGAGGCTCAGCTTGCCCTGCAGCCTCGCTGGCTTCACCCCCCACCCCCGCCGGGGCTGGGCTCGGCGCCAGCTGGTGGCTGCTGGCCTCGCCACGGGTCTGACGGTGCCCCGGGGGCCAGCCTCCCCGCGTGTCTTCAGGAAGCTGCTCACTCAGGGCGCTCGCGAGGAGCCGGGCACCGTCAGCCGTGGGGAGGTGAGCGCAGAAGCCCTGGGCTCCTGAGACGGAGCGTCTGAGCATGTGTTCTGCTGGTTAAAGCCGGGCTCAGTCCTGTTCACGGTAACGGCCGGGAAGGGGAGTCTCCCTGGGGTATTGCTCTTGTGGAAGCAGCAAAGGAACTCCCCGACCGGCCTGTCCTTCTGGTGGGCATGGGAGCCCCCGTTGCAGGGTAGTGAGGGGTGTGCTGTGCGCCCGGCCCTGTTCTCACCATCTTCTGTGGTGATACGTCCTCACGGGAGCCTCAGATCTGGGGCATCCTAGTCTGCTTGGGGTCCTAAGAAAGCACCACAGGCAGGGAGCTTGTAAACAAGAGACATTTATTTCTCACTGTCCTGGAGGCTGGAGGTCTGAGATCCTGGCGGGGCCAGATTTAGTGTCTGGTGAGGCTGCTTCCTGGTTCATAGATGGTGACTCCTCGCTGTGTCCTCGCCTGGAGGAAGGGGCCAGGGAGCTCCCTGGGGTCTCTTTTAGAAGGACACTAATCCCATCCCTGGGGGCTGCACCCTCTTGACCTCATCACCTCCCCGAGGTCCCACCTCCTGACACCATCGTGTTGTGGGTTAGGATTCCGCAGGGCGCTGGGCTCTGGGTGGTGACGGCTGTCAAGAGCGGAGCTGCTGGGTATCGGGGTGTCTGATCAGGACAACACACCAAAACGAGAGGCAGGGTCAGGCCGTTCACCGCTGCAGCTGCAGCGGGACCAAGAGGCCGAACCAGAGGGCATGCCAGCTCCCCCATCCCCTTTCCCCCAGGAAAGGGCCCGGGCGAGGGTCGGGGGCTGAGCACAGGCGTGGGGACCATGGGGGTGGGTTCACTGCCCCTGTCGCTTTATGGACCCGTGTCTGGCACAGCAGGAGAGGCAGGGGAGTCAGGGTGGAGGGCGGGGCTTCACGGGCCCCTCTTCCCCCGTAAGGAGGTCTCAGCAGTGGCGCCTGGGGAAGACCTGGGCCGAGGACCCACGTGAACGGACATCCGAGGGACGGGGATGCAGGGGGCAGTAGAGTACGGCGGGGGGCCTGGGTCCTTGACGGCAATCCCCCTCCCCTCAGAGAGCCTGCTGGCAGCCAGGCGCCAGGCCTGGGGTGGGGGGCAGCTTCCTGAGTGGCTGCCACGTGCCCCTCGTCACGTCCCAGGGGCGGGACCGAGGGGTCACTTGGGATCTGGGCCCGGACGCCCCAGTGCACAGCCACCCGGGTCCAAGGTTGGCGGGTTCCCCTGCAGGGGTCCGGGCTGCGGGTCTGCGGCCCCAGGAAGGTCAATGTTGCCGCCCTCTTCACCCTCCTTCCCTCCCCGCCCCCCCCCC